TCATTAAAATCCATTGTCTTACAGCATCTTTAACCTATTCAAGTTCTATTCTGGAAGGTCCAGCGCGTTGCTAGGGAATTAATGGGTCTCCAGGACAGTGGCAGAGTTAAAAGGAAGCTCCTGGAGCCCCCTAGTGGGAACTTCAGGAATAGAGCTCTGACCCGCCTGAGGCACCAGAGTGTTAAAGCACCCAGGGTTTCCAGAGGGTGCACAGGGCAGAGCTGTCTACCAGGCACATGCCATGGGGTTGGCCAGAGCTAAGCAGATGAGTCCCTGCATCGCACATCTGGCAAGATTCTGAACAGTCTTTAGCAACCATTGTTGACTCAGCGGGAGTCAAAATGGAATGTGACATCACTGGATGATCACAGCATGGCTTGGGGGGCTCTGGCCCCCATCTTTGAGTGCCCAGAGAGTCGCACTGCCACTTCAGATGACTGGACTACAGAATCTATTTTGTCGCTCCTATCCTAATCTGATGCTGGATTCTTTTGGTGAGCAAAAGCACTTGTAATTGGGCTCCCCATTTTGATGGTTTTTAATTGTCCAAGACTCACTTGCTGGACTAAGTTTAGCTGTTGGCCACAGCCAAGGATAGCCTTTAGAGCATGTCTCTAGTTCTATGGTTAAATGTATTGCTTGCAGTTTAGTTTCCATCAGGCTGTACTGCTGATTTACATGTCAGTGTTCATCCACACAGGCAGGAGCTGCCATCAGGAAACCAAATTGCCATTTTTTTGCTTTATCAGGGAGTTTTATGGCTTCCACTTGGTGGTGCGGGAAAGTCTTGGAAGGGGTAACTGTCAGTCTAATAGCAGTGCTACTCCTCTTCACTGGTTTGAAATGCATCCCTCTAAAGGCCTTTCTTGTGGAGGTGAGTGGGGAGGTAAATGTTACTCAGCTCCAAGATCTCTACTACACATAGGTCTGAAATCCTTGATCTAAAGCCTTGGGTCTGGCCACAGGTGCTTCAAAATCAGAATTTTTTAGTTTTTAGAAAGGCAAGGTATTTACATAGTATCACATAGGGGTTTGGGTCAATATGCCATAATCTAACATGTTAATATTTCTGGAAAAACATGTATGAATGTGAATATGCCAGTTGGGACTATAAGTAGGCTGTTTCACCACCAGATGATGTCAGGTAAGCGCAGGCTTGGTAACCAAATGGACTATGAGAAAACATTTTTGCCCTCAGCTTTTAGGATTTTTGGAATTGGAAAAATAGGGATTGTGGAGATATATATATATATATACACACACATATATATATATATACATACAGCTATTTATATCAACCTACATAAAATTTTAGGTACATATCTAGAAACACACAAGGCCCAATTCTAAGGACAGAGGGTCCCTTACCAGCTAGTGGAATACAGCGCCACTTTCTTAAATAACAGCAACTCCTGAAGAATTAGGAAATGATTATGATTCTTGTAAAGTACTAAAGTTAAAGACTATGGGCATCATAAAGATTGTGATCTTTGGAAATGTCTTTCATTGTATCACTGGGCCTATCAGATTTTCTTAAAAAATGTTTTTAATGAGGTACAATTTATAAAATAAAAATACTGGATGAATTTTCATGAACTGAACATGCCCTGTAGCCAGCATCCAGATCAGTAAACTAAACACCACCAGTCCCCATAAGTCCCTCTACCTCGTGCTCCATTCTAATCACTATCTCTCCAACCAAAGGCATTATCTTGTCTTCAAGCAATGCAGATTAGTTTTACCTCTTTTTGTACTTTATATAAATGGAATCACCCAGTATGCACTTATATTTTTTAAATTTATCCATATTATTGACATAGTTGTAGACATTTGTTATGGACTGAAGTTTTGTGCCCCACCCCTAAAATTCATATATTGAAGCACTAACTGCCTGCGTAGCTATATTTGGAGATGAAGCCTCTAAATGTGACTGAGGCTATAAGGTGGGGTCCTGATCTGATGACATACTGTCCTCCTAAGAAGAGACACCAGAAAGCTTGCTCCCCCGACCCACACACCGAGGAAAGACCACGTGAGGGCACAGCAGCCATCTGCTGGCCAGGTCAGTGAAGTCCTCACCAGAAACCAGATCAGTTGGAACAGAAATTTATTTTCTCATGGTTTGGAACTCCAGGATCAGGAGGTTGGTGCTGAGATCTCTCTTCTTGGATTAAAAGTGGTTGTCTTCTCCCTGTGTCTTCACATGGTGTTCCATGTGTATAATAGATCTGTATCCAAATTTCCTTTTTATGAGGACATCAGTCAGATCAGATTGTGACCCTAGTGACTTCATTGTAACTTAATCACCTCCCTAAAGGCCCTTTTTCCAAATACAGTCACATTCTGAAGCACTAGGGTTTAGGACTTCAACATACATATATTGGGGGGGGGGTTGCATACACAACTAAACCCACAAGAGATGGAAACTGCTAAAAGACCAAGCTTAGATATTTGTTCAATAATTCATTCTTTTTTCATAATAGTGACACAAATAAGTAGCCATAAATTTATTTTTAAAAGTCCAAGAACTTACCTGAAATCTTATTTTGCCGGGAAGTCATCTATTTCTATGTTATTTTAAAATTCACTTTAGCATTTTATGTATTTTTGCTTTATACTTGTTTGCATCCAATTTCCCCTCTTCTTCATTCCCAGCAGCTAAGAAATGTTGACAAATGGAGAGGCCACCTTGATGAAGCTACAGCTGAGAATAAACTTGAACAAGATAATTACTATTGGCAAAAAAGAAGCACTTCTACATTCTTAGACTTGAAGTTTGATAAAAGCACCTTTTCATGTGGCAACGGTTGTGTATTGATCGGTCTCTCCCATGTTTTATACAATTTGGAATTGATAAACCTTTTTTTTTTTTTTACTGAAAAAGGATGTGCTTGGAATAACTGCAGGAATAAAAAGGATATGGCCCCTCAAGGACTACAGTCGGCACTTTCTGAGTACAAGCCAGTTACTTGTAGGTAGAGGTGCTGAAAAACTGGTAGGGGAATGAAGAGACACAGATAAGGGAGGGAAGACAGCTGATAAAACAGCTGCCATGGTGAGTGAATGTATCTAATCCCATGGGAAAATCTGAAAACAGCGTGCAGCACATGCTTTAGAGATATTCCACCCAAAGGGGAAAGAGATCTGATTTATATCAAATTCACATAAAGCACTGGGTAAGGCCTGCTCCCAGTTACCGCTACAGAGCTGTGGCCTGTCATGGTTTCAGAAAAAGTCTGCAGGCCAAGAGATGAAGACAGTGCAAGGCAGATGAAACACACAGAGGCAGTAAGGCCAGGGTGGGCAGGAGCAGGGCACTGACAGCGTCTGCTATAAACACCTACTTGGAACTCTCCGTAGAACGCAGTAGCACGGCGGCTTTCAACCCGTGTGCTGCACACAGTGCTGTGCTGCACGCATTTGTAAGACGTGCAACACCTGCCTATTCGGTCAGGGGCATGGACTGCATTTCCCTGGACTGTCAAATTAAAAAATGACAACAGCCAACGCAACAATAGCCATTGAGTGTGAATGCATCAAAACTATACCAATTTTTCTGTCAGATCAGCAAAAAATGCATTTTTTGGTGTGCTGCAAAATTTTGGTGATTACTTTATGTGTGTCATGAAATGAAAAGGGTTGAAAATTGCTGTAGTAGCACTGATTTAATTTTATAAATCAATTTTAGTAATTTCAATACTGTACTTCACTAGCTACTAGTGAGTAGCACTTACTTTTGAACAGCCTATCAGTATCAGGTCATTTTTGTCTGTGAAACCAAGAAAGGCATTCTTAAATCATTCAAGGCCTATTCAATGGCTTCCAGCCTGGGGGACCACAGAGCAAAGCTACCACACCTCGCTTCTGCCTCCACTTGACTTGGGAAGGAAGGTATAGGGACTCAAGGGAAACTGGATACAACAGCCCATCACATTTTCTACCAAGTAATTCTGGACTACAGCAAGGTCACCTACAAAATGAGGGCCTCACAGAAAAAAACAGTTCAGCTATTTATTAATTTTTGTAAAACAATCTAATTATACATATTTGCAACAGTGGTGAAGTCTGGTCTTTAAATGATAGCTGCTCTGCTGAGTATCATGCGCACACCTGCTCTCTGTGACTACCCTGGCGCTTAATAAAGCTCGTGCGCCAACTGAAAGATTTCCTGCATCTGTCACATCTATAGGGTCTCCCTCCATTATGAATGACCTCATGTCGATGAAGATTTGACTTAACACTAAAAGTTTTTCCACATTCTCTGCATTCAAATAATTTCCCCTTTGTATGGATCCTTCGATACTGAATGAGATCTATATTCCGACCAAAGGATTCTCCACTATCATTGCATCTGTGAGTGTTCTGTTTTCAGTGAATTTGTTGATGGCTCTTGAGGGTTGAATTTCAGACAAAGGCTTTTCCACATTCCAGGCATTTGTGGGGTTTTTCTCCACTGTGGATTACCTGATGTTGAAGGTCGAATTCTGACTGAAGGTCCTTTCTCATTCACCACATTTATAGGGTTTTTCTTTGGTATGGATCCTTTTATGTTCCACCAACTACACCATCTGATGAAAAAATTCTCCACACTTGTGACATTCATATGCTTTTTCTTGAGGGCGACACTGTTTATGGACAGTAAGAGCAGACTTCCGATTAGAGGCTTGCCCACACATGTCACACTCAAAGGGATCCTCCGAAGTGTGAATTCTCTGATGTCGAAGAAAATTTGCCTGGCCCCTGAAGACTCTACCACATTCGCTGCATTCATAAGATTTTACATTTGTAAGAATTTGCTTATGCCTGAAAGGCAACGATTTCTGACTGAAGGGTTTTCTGTACTCACCATGTCTGCCCTGCTTCTTACTTGTCTGAGCATCCTGATCTTGAAAAAGGTGAAGGTTTTGAAGGAAGTCCTGGTGGCATTCATACCAACCACAGGGAGTGCAACTCCGTAAATGCCCATAAGTTTGTTACATTTAAGCAATTTTTCTGAAGGTGTCATGGCCATGTTATGCTTTACCACTGATATCTTACATGACTCCAAATCCTCAGAAATTTTCTGCTTTGGGGTTAGCTTTATCATCTGGCATCTGGCTTCAGAACCTACTAAAATAAAAAGAAAATATACAAATGGCCTGACAGCTGCAGAAGGAAAAGGGAAAAGAAGCCAACTGTTTGTAATATGGCATTTAAATAAGCTAAGAAATGATCACTTAGTTACATCATCATACGAAAGAGGTCAAAATTCTGATTTTCATAGCACACTCAGCTTTTATAGCTCCTGAAAGAGCCCTTGACACCAACTCACCAACTAAAAAACACACAAGAGTGTGTTGGAGAATGTGAGAACTGAATGAACCCATTACCATCATTGAAAAAACAACTTACTATAGGTACTCAGTAGTGTCACATAAATGTAGGAGAGTATCTTATCCCATCTAGATAAGCATGTTTTCAATAATTCTGGCAGAGAGAGCTCCTTAAAAAGGGAGAAAGTGTAATATAGAATAGAAAAGGAACCAGAGAGAAGTAAATCAAAACCCAGCAAAATAGAGTAGTTCTCAACCAGGGGTGGTTTTACTTCCTGGGGGACATTTGACAATGTCTGGAGATATTTTTGGTGGTCACAACTGGGGCCGTGCTACTGGAATCTAATGGGTAGAAACCAAGGATGCTGCTAAACATCCTACAATGCAGAGGACAGCTCACCTACAACGAAGAATGACCAGCCCAAAATGTCAAAGTGCCTCAAGTGAGAAATCCTGGAGTAGGGGGATGTGGAAAAGGTAGAAGCAACAATGCACACAGTAAGTAGGAAAAAGTAGGTATATCAAGAGACACCATGTAACATGAAAAATAAAATGAATGCAAGGGAATAAGAGAAAGCAGAGAGAAAGGATAAGTCATGATGGTAGAATAAAGCAGTACTAGGATGGCATAAGAGCTGTCAGAAAACACCAGACCAGCTACTTCAGAAAGTACTTTATTGTAAAAGAAATGAACTTTGCAGACTGGAAATCAAATCCTAAGTAGCAATCTTCTGTGTGATAGGTATCTTAATCTATTAGTTTCTTCATTTGGAAAATGGGGTTAATGGTATTACTATTACCTTCAGAGGGCAGTAGGAATAAAGAAGTGGGAAAATATATGCTAAACACCTGGCTCAGTATTTGGGACACACAAGGGGGTTCACTAATGTGAATTCCCTTCCTCTCTATGATTTCTGCTTGACTAGGTCTTCTCAGCTACCTGGGCAAACACTATTGGAAGCCTTCCTAGTCCCAGCTCTTGGTAGATCCAGGATCCATGGGTCTTCCCACTGCTCCAGCTGACAGATCACCTCAGGCTTAGGAATCTGAAATCCTACTCATGGGGAAGGAAAAGGGGTATGGTGGTTAGTGAGTTACAGAAATGTCCTAGAGCTCAGTTTAACCCCTTTGGGTCTATGGTGGCAAGGAGATAAGGACAATAATCAAAAGGGTTCTCTGACTGGCTTAGTTGGTTGGATATCATCCTGCAAAGCTAATGGTCACCAGTTCAATTTCCCATCAGGGCACATGCCTGGGTTGTGGGTTCAGTTCCCGGATGGAGCACACACAGGGAGCAACCCATGAATGTATTAACATTTCTCTCCCACATTGATGTTTCTCTCTCTCTCTTTCTCCTTCCCCTCTTCTCTAAAAAGAAAGAAATACAATTAAAAAAAAAATCAGCCCTGGCTGGCGTAGCTCAGTGGATTGAGCGTGGGCTGTGAACCAAAGCATCTCAGGTTCGATTCCCAGTCAGGGCACATGCCTGGGTTGCAGGCCACGGCCCCCAGCAACTGCACATTGATGCTTCTCTCTCTCTCTCTCTCTCCCTCCCTTCCTTCCCTCTCTAAAAATAAATCAATAAAATCTTTTAAAAAATCTTTAAAATAAAAAAGTCTTTCAAACAATAATCAAAAGGGCTTCTGAGAATAGAAATCTGCACAATCTTTGTGAAGATATGGCAATCTTTATTGATAGCCTGAATGATATTCACACCCTTGGATATGGTCATTTCACTCTTACAAATACAGCCTAAGGAAAAATTAATGTTCCAGAGATGTTCAGCAGAGTTGTAACAATGCACAACTAGAAATAAAGTAAATGTTAATAGGGGAATGATTAAAGTTAAGCACATTAATATAGTGAAGGAAAAAGTATTAGGCATATATTAAAAATCCATGTGTTCAAAAAATATGTATTAAAACAGCAAAGTGTTCCCTGTACATTTTTTTAAAGCAGAATATAAAACTCATGTAAAGTATGGTCCACATTTTATATTTTAAAACCCTACATACATAAGTATACACATATATGGAAAGACTAGGAAAAAGTAAACCAAACTATGGACAAGTTATTTCTGAGCAGTGGGCCTATAGATGACTTTTATTTTCTACTCTATTATTGAAAAATTATTCAACAATAAGTATATACTAAGACAATTTAAAAGTGCTATAACATTTTACTCCAAAATTCCAGTCCTAGGAATATATCCTGAGGAGTAATCAGAAATTCATATAAAGATTTATAATTGGAAATATTCATTGGAATAGAAAATGATAAGCACATAAGGAAACCAACAAGCAAAAACAAGGCCAAGCTTAACATTTCTAAGTGGAAAAATGATTAAATATTATGGATTGTACAACAGATTTACATTAAGATCATTTACTGTATTTACAAGGGCTTTTAATAACATAAAGAAAATGATGATGTTATAATGCTGTTTTAAAGGGATTACAGAATTATACAAAGAATATGCTCAGCTACATTTTTAAAAGCATAGGGGATAAAAAACAAAGCTGAAATACTCCAAAATGGTGTCACCCTTGAATGTTTGCCCCTTCCCTTCATGCTTTCCTATACCTTCTATGCATTCAAGTATGTGCTTGTAATTTTTAAAAGAAAAATAGACAAACAAAAAAGATGTCTTCATCACATTACCAGAAACCTGAAAAAATAAACATTAAAAAATCTACAGTTGGGCCCAAGCTGGTGTGGATTGAGTGGCAGCCTGTGAATCAAAGGGTTGCAGGTTCAATTCCCCCAGTCAGGGCACATGCCTGAGTTGCAGGCCAGGTCCCCAGTAGGGAATGCATGAGAGGCAACCACACATTGATGTTTCTCTCCCTCTCTTTCTCCCTTCCTTCCCCTCTCTAAAAATAAATAAAATTTTTTAAAAATCTAGAGTTGGGTAGGTAATCCTATGACAGACACTGTGCCCAGAGTGTCAGTTTATCCAGAACAAAAACTATCCAGGAAACTCCTACAGTAGGACACTCCACATTGGATTAAGAGAAAGGTTGGCTCCTGGGAAGAAAGAAGCAGTGAAAGTTCAGAAATGAAGTCAGTTAAGAATCATTTCCTGGGCAACTAGTGATGTTGCAAAAAAGGAAGGAACCCATTTTCACAGAAAAGAAATAAGACATTTCAAGAAAGTCAGAAGCTAGCCTTTGGAATCCAATTAGCCACAATCTTTTCAACTCTAATGTCTTATAGACGTGGAGGAGGCCAGTGGCAGTGGGAAATTAACTCTAAAACTAAAGGACACTTCCTTGTCCACAATCCCTTATCTGAATGAAACCCTGAGACCAGATGAGTTTCAGGATTCAGAATTTTTCCAGATTTTAGAAAGGTGACTTTCTACTGTATACTACCACAAATCGCAACAGGGTTTGGAGCTGAACCTTTAATCAAACACATGGATATATCTGATACTAAATATATAGATACAAAGATCCAATGGGAAAAATAAGGATGATAAATAGCTTTCTGTAGGATGAGTCAGGTTCAGCTACCAGATGACTTCAAGTTGGATCTTGTAGCCAGTTGAATTATGAAAACATTTTTTATTTTCAGAACTTTTTCTAATTTTGGAATCGCAGAAAAGAGATTGAGGATTTGTGTAGACACACAAAGCACTTGAAGGCAAATCTTTAAGCCAAGTCGTTACCAGCAAAATCATGTTCTGTAATTCTCCAACATCACATCTCTGTAGAGGTCCTTTTGAACCTGGTCAAGTTTGTTCCACTCTTCTCTGGTGAAGTACATAGCCACATCCTCAAAGGCCAGCAACTCCTGAAAACACAATGACTAGTTACAGCTTCAGTTCTGACAAAAACTTTGTGAGCTATTATTCTATAGGTCAGATGCGATGAGATAAAGTGACTTGGGGAAGCTCATTCAATGAGTAAGTAGATTCAGGGATCAGTATCAGTCTTCCTGCCCTCAAGCCAGACCCATCCTTTTTTTTTTTCTATGCTTGCGTCAACAAACTCTTCCTTTAGAAGGCCAGGTGGCAAATATTTTAGGCTTCTCAGGCCCTTTGGTCTCTGCTGTAATTATTCGGCTTTGCTACTGTAGCACCAAAGAAATCCATGGAAAACAAATGGGCATGATTATGCTCTAATAAAACTTGACTACCAGGTGCAGGTCAGCTTGCCCACCCAGCTCTGTACAATACTGCAGTTTACAGGTGATATATTTCTTCTGCCTGGGTTCACAAAAGGAAGAGATAGCACACTCAAATGAGGTAATTAGGATAGCTTAGTGTGCAGACTACTCAATGAAAGAATGAACTGGCTTCTTCTGACAGGGCCTGCCGAAGCATGCAGGGGCTGACTGTGCTGGGGAACCATTCCCCACTAGGTCTGAGGGGGAAGCCAGGGGAGGGGTTATTGGAATCCAGAAAGTTGTTGGAAAGGAGACAAGGCTTGATCCAGGGCCTTAAATTAATGCACCCGCTGACCTCTGGTAGCCCAGCAGGGAGGAAGCTGTAGGAATGAGAACCCAACATAAATTTCCTCCAAGACTCTGGTCCCCTTGATAGGGGCTTAAGACTTGGAAAATTTTAGCTTAAGGTAAATAGCCATAAATCTAGCAAGTAATGTGTATGTTAAACTTTTGTTTCAGAAACTATAGATAAGGCCCATCCTGGCGCCTGAGAAAAAGCAGCTGACCTCCTGGGGCACTGGCTAGAGATTACTGCCTGGAGACAGCCGTACCAGGAAGAAGCAGGTGACTACCCCTCCCCCTTGGAGATAGCTAATTGCCTAGGACAGAAATGCTGCAGCTGCTAAATTCAAAGCTCTCGCCAACCCTTGTTTTTCCTCCCCCAACCCCCTTATAAAAGATCTGGCCAGGAAAGAAAGGGGAAGATGGCTTTGTTAGGGTATGAACCCACCATTTTCTCGGATTGCCGGCCATCTGAATAAAGCACCTACAAAAGATTCAATCGCTGTCATTGCTTATTGGATTTGGTAGTGACAGGCAGCCCAAACACCGGTATCTTTTCCGGTTAGACCCTGACCCCCAACATTCCATTGCCAAAAGCCAAGCAGAAGCCAGAGGGCAAGGGAGCCCACTGATGGTAAATATGAAGGTCAGCCTTGCAGGGCACAGACCAAAATGGGAGAGGGGAAAGAGTATATGTAAAGGGATAGCGTTTGACAAAATGTATGCAATAGAAGTTTCCATTTGTAAATGTATGTTCCCCTCCTGTGGGTGGAGAACAGGTGTCTCATTCATATGCTGTTGCAGTCCTTGGAGCAGAGGTCAGGTTGTCTGCTCACTACACTCCCTTCTCTTACAAGACATTGTGTGGGTTCCGGGGGTATTTGTGCAGAACAAAGATTCCCAGTAATAGGGAATACCCACCCCTATCCTCAGAAGATTCCCGTAGCTCACCTCTGGAGACAGACACCAGAATCTCCCAAATTACATAACCTTTCTTTCCTCCCTGCCAAACCTGACTTCCTCAAGCCCTCTCTCACCACCATCCTGGATGTCTCTCCTTTTACTGTGTCTGCTGTCTGCATTCTGTGCATCTATGTGCAGGTTAACAACACAAGGATGAAATGGTTTAATCTCCCATCGAGTTATCTCTGTACAAACAGTTGGGCCCCTAATGATTCTCAACAACTCTTGCTCTCATATTCCCTACCAGTGGTGCTCTACATCTTGTTCTGTTGGGAACTGCCCTGCCTGGTATCAGAAGCTGTAACCCCCGCCATAGCTAAGGCCGAGGGAATGACCTTGGACCGTAAACCAGCAGGGAGACAAAAGCTTACCTCCCTGGCAGGAGAGCTGCTTCTGCTGCTTCATTCATAACTGAACCCCAAACCTTGGTCGGTTAGCCAATGACAGATAAGATTCCCCAAGGGGGGAACGACCTAAGACAGGCACGATCATGTGGAAGGCCCCCAAGGAAGGACTTTGGGGGCTACAGCAAAAGGGGGTGATGGACCCTCGCTCCTCGGCTTTGACATAGCCTCTGTCCTCAACGTCTGGGAGAAAATCTCCTAATCTCTTGGCTGCCTTACTTCCCTTGCTCCACGTAAGTCTGAAACAATGATGAAGGGTGGTGCAGCACTGTGCTGGAAAGGGCAGGTTCCCCAGGTAATCAGGCCTAAGAAAGAATATGTAAGATCCTGTGAAACCTGCTTTGTTTAGAATGCTCTCAGTTGAATGAGAAGGGTCCAAGGAAGAAGTAAGTTTGTTCCTCAAAGTTTTACAGCTCTTTGATCCTGACTCAAAATAGGCCCTCAGACTTCCTTGTTATCTATTGTTTGATCCTTACTTCCTAGCAATGAGTAATGAGCTTTTACCTGAATTCTTATTCAAACGAAACCACTAAAAAGCCTCTCTGGAGGGGGAATGGTGTCCTCTCCCCACCAGGGAGGGTGGCCAAGCGGCGCCCTCCAGGAGAGAGGGTGGCCAAGGTGCTGCCCACGTGAGGAGTGGCCCTGCTGCTCCTTTTCCCCCACAGGACCTGGTTGTCTCTGTGTATGTTTTTCTCACGTGTTGATAAACATCCACAGCCGAGATGGATACTGCTGGCCGGTATCATCCACATTGTTCCTTCAAGAAACATTTACTGAGCACCAATAAGTTGTTAGCTGCTGACACAGCCACCAGCCTGCAGTGACCTTGGAATGCTCCGGATGGCTTGTTGAAACATGAGAAAAACATACACAGAGACAACCAGGTCCTGTGGGGAAACAGCGACAGAACGACCACCCTCCCTAGGGGAGAGCATGTCGCTCTTCCACCCGAGCAGGCTTTTTATTGGGTTCATTTGCATAAGAATTCAGGTAAAGCTTATTACTCATTGCCAGGAAGTAAGGATCAAACAAGAACTCTGAGGGCCTATTTTGAGTCAGGATCAGATAGCTAAAGAGCTGTAAAACTTTGAGGACCAAACTTACTTCTTCCTTGGACCCTTCTCGTTCAACTGAGAGCATTCTAAACAAAGCAAGTTTCACAGGATCTTACATATTCTTTCTTAGACCTGATTACTCGGAGAACCCGCCCTGTCCAGCACAGTGCTGCACCACCCTCCGTCATTTTTTTGTTTCAGACTTAGGTGGAGCAAGGGAAGTAAGGCAGCCAAGAGATTAGGAGATTTTCTCCCAGACAATGATTCAGGCTATATCACAGCCAAGGGGTGAGGGTCCATCACCCCCTTTTGCTGTAGCCCCCAAAGTCCTTCCTTGGGGGCCTCCCACATGATCATGCCTGTCTTAGGTCGTTCCCCCCTTGGGGAATCTTACCTGTCATTGGCTAACTGACCAAGCATTGGGGGCCAGGCAGGGTGAAGTAAAAGGAGCAGAAGCGGAGCTCCTGCCAGGAAGATAAGCTTTTGTCTCCCTGCTGGCTTACGGTCCAAGGTCGTTCCCTCAGCCTTAGCCTTGGCGGGGGTTTCAGCTTCTGATACCAGGCAGGGCTGTTCCCAGCAAGCCTTCATGCTATAGGCCAGTAATAAAAAAAGGTTACAATTCAGGCTGTGAACTGCTCAACTCTAAGGTCAGCACTCACATCACAGCTGTACAAACTGAGTTGCTGAGTGCACAACTATGCAACCCCAAAGCAGCCCTGGTCCCTGCTTCAAGGAGTGAAAGATCCAGTGGCAGAAGATGGAGAAAGCAACCTGGTAATGACCTTGTGGTCAATACCCTGTGGGAGGTGGTCAGAGGGGACTGTGAGGACAGGTAGCTCACCTTCCCTTTCAGAAGGCACTGCCAGTTACGTCCCATAAAATAGTCCATGGGGCACACACTCTTCAACTCCTCTCACACTCATCACTTCCCCTAGACATTACCAACATTTTAAAAAATAGTTCATTTTTTGCCCTGGCTGGTGTGGCTCAGTGGACTGAGTGCCAGCCTGCAAACCAAAGGCTCGCTGGTTCAATTTCCAGTCAGGGCACATGCCTGGGTTGCAGGCCAGGTTGCCAGTAGGGGGGCACACAAGCAGCATCCACACAATGATGTTTCTCTCCCTCTCTTTCTCCCTCCCTTCCCCTCTTTAAAAATAAATAAATAAAATCTTAAAAAATAGCTCTTTTTGCATTCTTCCATTACCATTTATCCCCAGTATACCCTCTTCCACCTCCACCTCCCCCCCCATAATCATCACACAACTGTCTGTGTCCATGAGTTCTTTTTTGCCCAACACCCCCCTCTCACCACCTACATTTTTACTCATCTCTCTTCTTCTCCCTCAGAGGAAGAGGTGGCCTTTCTACAAATCCCACCTCCTCTGCAGTTGATTCCATCCTCTCCCTTCTTCTCAGGGTCTGAATCCAATGATGATGAGTCTTTTTTTCTATATCTTTACCCTCTTGCCCCTTGTAATACTGTGATTTACAATAAAAAATATATATTTGGTTTTCATCCCTGTTCATCATATAGAGCTCCTAACACCTGGGGAATTTCTTAAAGGAGTAACAGCAAATGGGCATCTTTTAATATTTGGTCTTTTGTCCTTGGTTTCTGACATAGTCATAAAAGTAGAAGGAATGTCTTGTTACTCATAATAAATTTCTTCCACTATTCCTGTTTATGTTAATGAGATGACCTTCAGAAAGCCCATTAAAATGTGAGAACCACCATGCATTAGGGGGTTAGAACTTTAGTCCCCCCTGCCGCCAACTAAGAGGAGAAGAAAGGAGCTGATGATTGAACCTTTCATTAAAAGTCAATGAGTTAATCAGTAAAACCTATGTAATGAACCTCCATCAAACTGCCCAAATGGGTTGTTGAAACTCCTGGAGATGCTGGAGGGTGTTGTGCCTGGAG